AGCAAATAGGATTTTAGGTTGTATCTACAGAAATATTGAATACAAGTCAAAGGAGGTTATAATTTCATTGTACAGATCACTGGTTAGGCCATATTTGAAGTATTGTGTTCAGTCTTCAGCTCCTTACGTTAGGAAGGAAAGTGAACTGTTGGAAAGGGTTCAAAGGAAGGTTACTAGAATAATAGAATGGTGCCTGGGATGGAGGGGTTGTCATATGAGGAGAGATTGAAATCTCTCAAATTTTTTTCTCTTGAAAAAAAGAAGAGTTAAAGGAGATCTGGTTGAAGTGTTTAAGATTGTATATAGAATTGATAGTGTTGATGCATTATCATTTTTCATATTTAACAATGAGAATAGTTTGACTAGGGGACATAAATATACATTTTGACAGGGTAGGAGTCATCTTCAGCTAAGAAAGTATTATTTTCTAATAGGGTGGTTGGCCTTTGGAATGGGTTGCTTTCAGATGTTGTAAAGGCAGTAAATTTAAGCGAGTTTAAGAGAAAGCTTGATAACTATAAGAATTATAAGAACTGGCTTTAAGATTTTTTTTTAATGTATTTATTCAATAGTTTTAATTTAGTTTAGAGGAGGGACAACCAAAATGGACCAACAGGTCAAATGTTGTCCCAAAACATGATGTTATGTTAACATGAAAACACTTTCATTAGAATTGCTTTGCTCACCTCAATGGGAGTTTGGGGTATCCAATATGTTAAAAAAAAAAAATACAGCTAAAAACACTTTATCTACTCCTTACTGATGTAGCTTTTTTGAAAGGTGAGTTTCATTAGCAATTTCAAATGCTGTGGCATCACAAAAGGGTGGCGATGAAGGGTGGTAATAGCAAAACTATTGAAATATAATGAAAATCACATAAAAATAACACACGAATCATTCTACTTTCAAAAGATGATAGTTTTTTAGCAATGATAAACCTTTACTTTGAGATTGGCAAAAAATTCTAATAAGAAAAGCAAGCATGAAATGTGTTTGCAGGTGATAGATAACTCCTCAGAGCTACACAGAAATTACAGCTGGAAAATTTTCTGTTTGCAAATTACACTGAATAAATGTCATATAATGACAAAAATATCAATCTTTGTGGGTAAATAAATTGTTCAAACATTTTTGCTTAAATTTGGATATTTAATATTCAAGTGTGCACTTGACACCTGGAAGATGCTTACTGATCTTGAGAGGATAAATAAATAAATATACATATATATATATATATATGTCCTCTCACATGGAACTACATTGTAAATAAATGATGGGGAAATCACTTAACCAAGTGTAAAATAGTTTCTCTTTAGTTTTATTTAAGTGTAGTGCAATAAACCCCAAGAAAATTAAATTGTTTAAAATAAAAGTGTAAAGTTACCAATATATATTTTACCATACATTTGAATTAACTCAAATGTAATTTTAAAAGTCATACAACATATAATAGAAAACCTAAACTTCAGTCAAGGGGATAATTTGGGCAAAAAGATGTCTTGACTTATTGTGAATGTCATGTTTATACTACATCCCTCACAATCCCACTTATGACTTCAAGTCACTTGTTTTAGTCATATAAATTGTATGTTTTTGTATAAATTATAAGCAAGTACTTCTTCTTTTAAACCTAAAATTATCAACAGGGTCCACATGGATCCCACTGGATTTCCAAACATTTTTCTAAATCATTTATGGAACAAATTATTTGTGGATCACAAAACAAGTCACACAAAAAAGTTAAACAAAAAAATATCATTAATAATGTAGTTAATCTCACTAATTATAAGTGATTTCACTTATTCTTATTCAGTTCTTTACAATGAAAGTTATCATAGGTAAAAATAAAAGTACTCATTATGATGCAATAAGTGGACCAGACCAATAATGAATGGTATGACACAATGTGGGCAATTCTGAGGGTTAAAAATCAGATTGGCCTTTCTTCCCATATTAATTATATTACATATGTATTTTACAAAACTGAACTTATCATCACTTGTGCCATTGGTCATACAATGAATAACTTGGGTCAGTCTTGTACAAGGTAAAGAAGTGTGTTAAATTTCTTCATTGATGTACTTAATATTTGAGATACATGTTTTCAAATAAAAGAAAAACTGAAAACAAAAAAACAATTGTTTGAAGATAAGAGAATCGCAATACAAAAAGAAAAAATGGAAAAGACTCACTTAATACAAAGTCAAAAAAGTAATATCCTTAGATTCATAGTTAAATTATTGTAGTTCATAATTTAAGTACACTTATTGTTTTTGCAAAATTTCATGCTACTATGAATGTCTTCTATAAACAAGTCAGGTAACGATAGACATGCTTAAAAAAAAAGCAATAAAACTTAAAGGACAATACCATTGCTATAGTGGTAAACTTCAATTGGTCTGTTAAAAATTTCTGACAGAGCCTGCATTTCAACATGATTTCCATGGATGTGGTCACAACGTTTTCTCTCTATGTACTTTTCAAAATCTTCTGTTACGTATTGTGAATAATAATCAGCATTTTTGGCCTATAAAGAATATGTAACATTAGGCCTTGATAACATGTAATTAAGTTTAACAGTTGTCAAATCTTGAATGATACTTACAACTACCAATGTTATTATGTACCAAAAAATAACAGGATGAAAACATTTTGAAATTATTTGAGCCCAAAATGGATATCACCATTCTTCTATACTATTTCATTAAAATTTTAAGCAAAATTAAATTAGGGCTTTAAATTAACTGGGAATAATATTTATAAAACAATTTTAATTTAAAATCTAAACATATTCAAGAATGTACCAGCAAAATATATAATAAATACATCTACCACAATTGAAAGCAGAAGCTATGTGTTCATAACAAAGTACACATTCTTGATAGAACAATTCTTGTAAGCATTAACTTTAAATGTTTTTTAAGTTTATGGCTTCTGAAATTATTTACAACTGTGTATAAATAAGAATCAAATAAAGTCTTAAATACATAAAGAATTTAGTTAGCACAGCAAAAGTTTATTAAAATTTTACTAATTATTTTTATCATGCAAGAGAACCTTTCACCCACCAGATATTGTAATATACTGCACTTTTATGAAGATTAATCATATCGGCACGGGTACCCTTTACTGCACATGACACAAGGTTTTAGTGTCTTACATTCAAACATTTATTAGACTACTTTTTGTTTATGTTATACCAATGAGAATAGCATAAAATCTTAACTAATAATCCATATTTTAATAGTTTACAAGTTTTAATTTTGTCTTAGCATTTCATCATCCCTATTTTATCCATCACCCCTCGAAAATGTACAAAATTAAACGTAAAATGCTCTCTATAAAATCATTATTGTTCAAACAGACCATAATTTTCATGGCCTTCAATTTTGTTTTGTTACAGAGCTATCAAAGAGAAATCAGACCCCTCCTGCCACATTCTCTCTTTCACAATTGGTTTATAGTTCTGTCTTATGTTTCATTATATATTATTTATAACCAATAGAAAGTCAAGGTTTTCATCTATCACATGGCGTATTGTAAAACATTGTGTTTTGAACAGATAACCGTCACTATTGCTCTGAGTAGTAACATCTTTCCCATGGGAAAGTTTATGACTAACTTGGATGAATTTCTAACGGCTCTTGTTGCAT